CCAAGGCTGAGAACTAAATCTTCAAGGGTATTTGACATTTCGGAGGGAGACCAGGGAAGGAAGTACAGTGACTCTGTTAGTAAAGGATGAGATCAGCATTTAGTGCGAAATGGTCTTGGTTCAGAAGATCAAGATGTAAAATCATTTTGAGTGGAATCCTTTACTGCAAAGAATTGGGAGTAGTTTATGAACGACCTAACTGTAGCTGCATAGTAGAACAGAGTACATACCAAGAAATAATGAAGTCTTACAAGAAAGGTGGATGACTTTAATTTTCAAATAGATTGAACAAATCAATTTGGCAACAGTAGCCTGAAGGATGGGTTTTCAAGTGTATTTGGGACAGATTCTCAGAATATATTCTGAAACCTACCAGCTACCAGGCTATGTAGTACCAAGCAGTGTGTAATGGTACACAGTGAATTGAAGATCTCACAGTAAAGAATCCTCTCTGTGAGAGTGATAATAAAATGATAGAATTTCACATTCATTTTGACAGTGAGAAATGTGGGAATTGAACCAATGGCTTAAACTTAAATAAAGGTAATTACAACTGTAAGAAGACAGTGGTGACTAAAATAGGCTGGGTAAGTAAATTCAAAAAACTGTTTCATAACTCTCAATAAAAACATATTGCATCAAGGAACAGTTTTACCAAAAAGGATGCATCATCAATAGCTACCTAATGAAGTTAAGTGAAAGAAAAGGTGTACAATGCTACAAAGATTAATGATAGACCAGACAATTAGGACAATTTTAGAAACCAACAAGCGATGATTAACTGGGGAGAAATTGAAGAATAGGAGAAAACTAGCAGGAAAATAAAAACAGACAGTGAAAGGTTACTGTAAGTATATAAAGAAAGAGTAGCTAGAATAAGCATTGGTCCCTAGAGGATGAGTCTGGGGAATTGCTAATGAGTAACAAGGAAGTGACAGAGGCTTTTGCCAAATATTTTATATCCAGCTTCACAGCAGAAGACACTAAAAGTATGGCCAGAATAAAAATCCAGAAACAAAATAAAGGGAGCACCATATGAACATGAGAAACAAGCATGGGCCATTCGGCCCCTCATACCTACTGTGCCATTCAATAAAATCATGGATAATCTGATTGTATCCACAAATTGATATTCCCATTTAGCCCTAATAACCTTTCACCCTTTTGCTTACCAAGAATGTATCCATCTCTGTCTTAAAAATACACACGGGCTCTGCGTCACTATCTTCTCAGGAAGAAAGGAATCAAGTCATCACCTCTCATCTAATCTCCAGCAAATGTTAGTCTAGCTTGTCTAACCTGTTTTCATGAGATAATCCACCCATTCCAAGTATAAATCAGGTGAACGTCCTTTGAACTGCTTCCAAAGCATTTACATCCTTTCTTAGATAAAGTGACCAGTACTATATACAGTACTCCAGACAAGATCTTAGTGCACTGTGTAACTAAAGCATAACCTCTTTACTATTGTATTCAATTCCCCTTGTAATAAGTGAATATATTCCATTAACTTTCCTGATTACTTGCAGTATCTGCAGACCAGCGTTTTGCAATTTATGCCCTAGGATTCCCAGTCTCTCAACATTTAGATAATATGTGTCTTATTCTTTCTTCCTTCCAAAATGGACAATAGCACTTTTCCCATCATATGTTCTACTTGTTAAATCTTTGGCACTCACATAACCTAATGATATACTTCTAAAGCTTCCTTATGTCCTCTTGGTAACTTACCTTCTTACCAATCTTTGTGTCATCCACCAATTTGGCAGCCATACCTTCTGTCCATTCATCTATGTAATTTATATAAGTTGTAAACAGTTGTGATCCCAGCACTAGTACCTGTGGCATACTACTTGTTGCATCTTGCTAACCTAAAAGATCACCTTCAACGAAAAAAAATGTGGGAATACAAATGAAACATGAAGCTGAGAAGCATCCTGATCTTGACAATCTTCATCCCAGGATCTTAAAAGATGTGGTTACAGAAATAGTGAATATATTAATTGTAATTTTAATTTATGGAAGTTCTTTGAAGAGGGAAATGAAGAGTTGATAAAGGGGCATGAGAAGGTGTACTGTACATGAACTCTCAAAGCGGGTACAATTATGTGCAGTATACAAGGTTATACAGAAGATAAGAGCATGTTGTCTTGGACATATAAGCATGGACAGAGGACAAGAAACAGCACGTCAGGATAAATGCCTTATGTTCAGAATGGCAAACAGTAATGAGAGAAATGCCCAGAGCCTCAACTATTTAGAATCTAAATCAATTATTTGGTTCCAAGGAACTAATGACATTAAAGCCAAATTTGCTGACGATATGGAGTGTTCAGAAAGCAAGGTGCAAGGAGGATGCATGAATTTAGCTGGTGGGGTAAAATTTGAAGTTTTCCTCTTTGGCATGAAGAATAAAAAAGCAAAATATAATTTAATTGGAGAGAAACTGCAGAATACTATGGTGTAGAGGGATCTGGGTGCCCCGGTGTGTGAATCACAAACTTAACATGGAGATACAGTAAGTAATTAGAAAGGCAAACAGAATGTTAGTCTGTATTGCAAGGGGGATGGAGGTTTTAAAAAAAAAAGTAGGGAGGTCTTGTTAAAATTGGAAGTCACACGACATCAGATTATAGTCCAACAGGTTTATTTGAAATCACCATCTTTTAGAGCATTGCCCTTTTGTCACATGAAGTGAGAGAGAAACATGCAGGCACAGAATTTATAGGCAAAGAGATCAAGAACAGAGAGATCAAAAGATCATACAAATGGTGTAAATGGCGTGTCAAATCATAAGTCTCTGCAGGTGATCAAAAGTGTCAGACAGTGTGAGTAAAGTGTCAACAGCTTAATAACAAGTGAAGGAATGACCTACAATCTGCTTAAATGAGGCAGAGAGGTAATTACAAAAAATTCAAAATAAGGTGCTGCTGGAGACAAACTAAATGACTAGAATAACATGATAGGTATAAGAACCAAAAGAACTGCAGATGCTGTAAATCTGGAACAAAAACAAAGTTGCTGGAAAAGCTCAGCAGGTCTGGCAGCATCTGCGAGGGAGAAAACAGAGTTAACGTTTCGGGTCCGGTGACCCTTCCTCAGAACCCAAATAGGTATAAGAGTCGCGTGATAGGTAAAAGAGGGTCTAACCAAAGTAACAAGTAATCCAAAACTGTACAAACTAGTTATGGTAGAGAGATCATGACAATTTATCAAAGTGATGGTGTCAAATCAGGACAGTAAGGAAGATTTTACAGATGCAGAACAGTGTGGTGGGGTCTCATGTGGCGTGTTGTTGTGCATCTTGAAGGCTGCCTTGGAGGACGCTTACATGATGATCGGAGGCAAATGTCCTTCACCGCTGAAGTGTTCCCTGACTAGAAAAGAACATTCCTGTCTGGCGATTGTTGCGCGGTGTCCATTCATCCGTTGTCATAGCATCTGCATAGTTTCGCCAATATACCATGCCTCAGGGCATCCTTTCCTGCAGTGTATGAGGTAGATAACATTGGCCGAGTCACATGAGTATCTGCCATGGACGTGGTGGGTGGTGTTCCCACGTGTGATGGTAGTATCCATGTTGATGATCTGACATGTCTTGCAGAAGTTGCCACGGCAGGGTTGCATAATGTTGTGGTCGATGTTGGCCTGAAGGCTGGGTAGTTGGCTGTGAACGATGGTCTATTAAAGGTTTGGCGGTTGTTTGAAGGCAAGGAGTGGACACGTAGGGATGATCTTGGCGAGTTGTTCATTGTTATCGATGGCATGTTGACGGCTGTGAAGAACTTGGCATAGTCTCTCCAGTCCAGGAAGTTCCGTACCCACGAAGACAGCCTCAACCGTGATCTTGGGTTCCTGTTGTGTTACATGTGACCCCCACCGTACTGTTCTGTATCTGTAAAATCTTCCTGTTTTGACACAATCACCTTGATAAATTGTTATGACCTCTTTACCGTAATTAGCTTGTACAGTTTTGGATTACTCATTACTTTGATTAAACCCTCGGCAAGCAACCTCTATACCTGTCATGTCACTCCAGCCATTTAGTTTGTCTCCAGCACCACCTTATGTTTAATTTTCACAATTAGCTCTCTGTCTAATTTGATCAGATTATAAATCACCCCTTCACTTGTTATTCAGCTGTTGACACTTTACTCACGCTGTCTGACACTTTTGATCACCTGCAGAGACATATTATTTGACACTCCACTCATCCATATGATCTTTTGATCTCTCTGCCCTTGACCTCTCTGCCTATAAATTCTGTGCCTGTGTGTCTTCTCTCTCACTTCACCTGATGAAGGAGTAGCGCTGCAAAAGCTTGTGATTTCAAATAAACCTGTTGGACTATATCCTGGTGTCATGTGACTTCTGACTTTGTCCACCCCAGAACAACACTGGCACCTCCACATCATTGCTAAAATCGTGCAGGGCATTGGTGGAACCACACAAAGAGTGCTATACAACTTTGGTCACATTACTTGAGGAGGGCCATACTTGAAATTGATGTAGTTCAGAGAAGACTCACTACACTCATTCCTGGGATGAAGCGGTTAATTTATGAGGAAATACTGAGCAGGTTGTGCTGATACTTAGTGGAGTTGGAAGAATGAAAAGCTCATTGAAATGTACAGAACTCAGAGGAGCTTGACAGGATAGATGTTGGGAGGATGTTTTCAAAAAAAAAGGAATCTCGCATTTGAGATAGATGGGAAGGAATTTCTTTTCTCAGAGGTTCATTGGAAATTGTCTTCCCCTGCAAGCAATAAAGGCCGGGTCATTGAGTATATTCAAGGCTGAGTTAGACAGATTTCTGATTGACAGGAGAGTTAAGTGATATCGGAGTACAGGGGAAAGTGAAGTTAAAGCCAAAATCAAATCAGCCATGATTTATTTAATGACACAGCAAGTTCAAGGAACTTAACAGCCCGCTTCTGCTCCTTCTTATGCTTTCGTAGTCTAAATTGCACAGTGATTTATAATCTTTCTTTTCTTCACAGTGCCAACCACAGAGCATTATTGGACCACCGGCAGTGCCGAAATTATTTTATCCTGGTGGTGCCTGGTGATGGTATTATCCTGTCTGGTCAGCATATACTAGCAAAAGAGGGAGTGTGCAAGGTGCAGTGAACAAAAAGAACCGTGAAGAAGTTCAAGAATCTCTTCCAAGTGCTGGGAACTGGATACAATCTGGTACAGTTCATTCACAGAAAAGTGTGAGAATCAACTAGCAGTACAAACACAGGGATGTGAACCTTTCCTAGGATTACTGATTCTGTAAATGTCTAAATTGTATTCTTTTCAGGTTATCATCAAGTTCTAACATTGAACTCATTGTCCCGTATCATGCTTTGTAGGCTGTGGAAGTTACTTTTTAAGAACATGTAATTGTAATATCTAGCATATAAGCTGCAATGCTTCACAAACTAGGTTAACCCCACTTAAGGTGCTGAATACATGCAAGAAAGATTTGGCACTTGCATGCGATTTTGTAACCTGCAATATGATTTAATCTTCATAATTGTGGCATAAGGTCAGCAGGCATTCAACGAAAATGGGTCTCTTGCATCTAGTTTCGTAGTTTAAATGGAACTGTTTAAAGTCTTAAAACAAGGAGGTACACCAGTTGTTTTGACAATTGAAAAGACTGACAAGGAAAGCATCCATCTCAAATAATTACTTTTCAAAATATTAGAATGAATGACAAAGGAAAATCCTTTAACATACTCCAGTTTTCTTCTAAAATTCCAAGCAGTTGTAGAATTATTTAACAGGGGAAATTGAGAAAGAATAGGTCAGTTGTCTATCATACTCTTTTATTTTTCTCTTTCACTTCACTCCCACACAAACATTTGAAGTGGCATTTCAGATCGGGGATCTCATTTAAAGAAATGGTTTTCACTTCATTTTTAAAATTTCTTCCATAGAATTTCTATCTTGCTCCCTCCCGTTCTTATTCTGGAATGATTGGGAGGAAAAAAGCTAGAAATACTAGAAATGTGAAAAACAATCATTTTAGAAAATAAATAACAGATGAAGCAGGGAAAGATAGGGTAACATTTTAACAGGGAACTTCATGTAAACTGTTCTGTTCTAAAGGAAAATCTCAACCAAAACATCAGCTTCTCTTTCTGGTTGCAACCATTGACTGTTTTATTGCATTGTAGAATAAAATGGCATAAAGCCATGATTATTATTTCACTTTGGTTTGTATTTGACTGGTGCCCTGCTTATCCTCCTAGTTTAGAATGCAAGTGCACAGATTCTGTCTGGCTGCTTTTGTGGCTTTGCTACCTATTTTGTAGACTGCTTCTTTAATGGCATTTCCATCTATAGGCTGTGACCTGTAGGAAACTGCAGCGCATCATAACCACACTTGTTTTTAAATGAAAGTTAACATAAATTATTATTATTATTACTTTAAATTCCAGCTCGTCCTAGTGCCTGGAGAGAATTAAAAATGGAACCCCCAATTTACATGTTCCAAGACTTTACCATTCACTTAACTTGACCAGGTGGCTGCACATGGAGATGCCGTGGAAAGTCAATCTAGGTATCAATACTTCACAAAAACAATCTGTGCCAAACCCTGTAGCCTTTACGTATGCATAGCATAACTTCAATAGCATTGTGCTTTTGGTAAGATCCGTGTTCAGATAGCATTTCCAGCACTAAAGCATGCAACATGTTAAGATATTAAGTTACTCCAACAAATTTTTGCCTACAAAGAACCTGGAATAATGAGGAAATAAAGTCATGTAGCTGTTATTAAACACCAGTAACAACAAGTAATTATTCAATTGTACATGGTTTGTAAGATCTGGAGTTCACAACAGGTAGCCAGCAAAATGGTATTCCGTGGGGAGTACTTTTAAAAATATTCTCCAATTACAATCTTGATTTATTAAGTGAAATTGTTGTTATTCAAATGTTTAATTTTTTTGTTCGCATGGCAAATATTGTGATATGATGCAGTTCACTGCACATAGTATCATTTGTTTGTAATGCCATCATGAAGAAAATGACATGCTGATGTTCTTCCCCAATTCAACGATCAGACCACCCCTTCTGTGCATTAACTGAATGATGGAACATTTGGCGAACTTAATGTTAATAGTGGATGAGGGGAATGAAGCCAAACGTCTGTGAATCGTTTTCAATCATGGTGACCTCAAGTGTAATGAATGATACATTTCTGCTGCAGTTTATATGAAGTCATGTGTTTGGCAATCTTATTTTGGTTTACTAACACTTTTTTGTGAAGATTGTACCCCTTTATGTTTGTGTATGTGCTATGGTTCTACATGATGAATCTGGTTGACTAACTGTGGTAGTGCACATGGTAAAATAGTTTATAACCGCCCTGCGACAAAGGTATACAGCAGATCAAATATACATTTTTCTGCAAAAAACCCTTCAAAGATATGATATCAACTTTAAACTTCAAAGTGATACTCACTGCTGCCCCCACGATTTGAAAGGTTGAATGTGTGAAATATTCGTACCAAGTTCATACAAACTGTGGTGTAAAAGTAAAGTTGAAATAGACCAGAACCTATAAGAAAATGCAGTGATGCAATTAGCTAATGTTTGTTGACTAGCGTAATGCAAAGGAAAAACATTATGGGAGGTCAATATATTTTATCAATGAGCCAGTATGAAAGTTCTGTATCTGTAATCTTTAAAATTATGCCTTAACATTATACACTTCTTAAGGATCGTTTTATATACAACCAAAGTTTGGAAGGAGGAAATTTATCATTGTACCAATGGATGTATATAATTGTTCAGGTGAGCCTTGAGTGATTCATAGTATGAAAATTTCACAAAACAATTATAACGTTTTGTGGAAATCCCAGTCACATTATTTTGCATCTCTGAAATCTAAAGCTGGTGTCATATCTGGACCAATTGAAGATTGTTTTTTTCCAGAAAAGAAGGCTTTTCTTAATATTTCTGAAATGACCTGACAATGTCTTGAGTTCTGCTGCCTGCCTGGGCTGCCTGTAGTGATTTGTGACGTGGAAAATATTGTTTACAACAATAAGGCAGATTTTGCATTCTTAATGAAATTTCGTCAGTGCTATTAAATCTCCTTATCTTGTGAGATTGTCCAGTTACAATCCATCAACTTTAATATGTGAAGTGTTTACAGAAACTGTGTGCTGTGCATCAAAAATAGAGTGCAAATAAGCTAATGTGTTACAAGATGGTGAGTAAAATAGTACAGTGACTTACTTGTTTGCTAGCCAAATGCATTTAATAGTCATAGATTAAAACACTGACATACAGTAGCACTGATTTTCCAAATATTATTCTCCAATAGTTTTGTATTATGCTTTGAATTTTTCAATAAAGACTTATTGATGGTACAATAAAGGTAACCAGGCTGCAGTCAACACTGTTCACTGTAGAACTGAACCTAAGGTCTTTGGTTTGATCTCTAAGCTGTGCTCCATTGGTTAAACTCAATCATAGCAATTACAGTTGGTTTCTGCATCTTTAACTTAGGCAGCATAGAAGCAGCGATAGCTCATAATTGTTCTTCCGCAATTCAAAGTAGGTATCCAAAGATGTTGGATATGGACGAGATTAGTGTCTGGCCTCATGGACCCATGAACCATTCACCTGCTAATGTTGGCATGATTCATAAAATAACTGGCCATGAAGGAAGGAGGCAACAGTACAAAAGGAATTGTAACCCATTGTAAGATAGATATTAACTTTGTGTAATAGTGTAAAACAGATGATACCAAGCCAGAAACTAGTTTCACATGCCCTGGTTTTAATTTAGTTGAAGTCTTAATATTACTAGTTTTATATGATGACACAGAGAAAGTCTGTCCTTGTGCATTAATGCCTTCAGTAGAGTAGAAGAATAAATACAAATAAAATCTACTCCTGACCTTAATGTGATGAAAGGGATCGTCAACAGGTTGATCAAGCAGCACTTGCTTAGCAATAAGCTGCTTACTGACATCCAATTTGGGTTCTGCTAGAGCCACTTAGCTCATGGTTCAAACGTGGACAAAAGAGCTGAATTCCAGAGATGAGAGTGAGTGCAGTTGTCATCAAGGCTACATTTGATGAGTGTGGCATCAAGGAACCCTAGCTAAACTGGAGTCAGTGGAAATCAGGGGAAAGATCTCCGCAAGTTGGAGTTGTACCTCGAACTAAGGAAGATGGTTGTGGTTGTTGGAGATCAGTCAACTCAGTTCCAGGATATCTCTGCAGTTCCTCAGGGTAGTGTCCTAGGCCCAACCATCTTCAACTGTTTCATCAATGACCTTCCCTCCATCATAAAGTCAGAAGTGGGGATGTTTGCCAATGGCTGCACAATGTTCAGCACCATTCACAACTCCTCAAATACTGAAGCAGTTGATATTCAAATGCAACAAGACATGGATAATATTCAGGTTTGGGCTGACAATGGCAAGTAACATTCATGGCACACAACACTAGGCAATGATCATCTCCAAAAAGAGAGAATCTAATAATGGCTCCTTCACAGCATTGTGATCACTAAAACCCCCAGATCAATATTCTGCGAGTCACCATTGACGAGAAACTAAACTGGAGTAGTCATATAAATATAGCAGATACAAGAGCAGGTTGAGGTGAGGAATCCTACAGCAAGTAACCTACGTCCTGTCTCCCCAAATCATGTCCATCGTCCACAAAGCTCAAGTCAAGAGTGTGACGGAATACTCCCCATTTGCCTGGATGAGTGCAACTCCAACAACGTTCAAGAAGCTTCACACCATTCAGAACAAAGCAGCCTGATTGGTTATAACCATTGTGCAAACATTCACTCACTCCTTACACATCCCACATGCACAATGAATACCATATAGACAGACAAGGGCAGCAGACACATGGGAATACCAGCTGCAAATTTCTCTCCAATCCACACACTGTCCTGATTTGGAAGAACATTGCCATTCTTTCAGTGTCACTGGGTCATAATCCTGGAATGCCCTTTCTAATGGCATTGTGGGTCTGCCTACACCAGATAGATTGCAGTGGTTTAAGAGGCAGACCCTGCCCTCTCAAGGGCAACTAAGAACCAGCAATAAATGTTGGCTAGCCAGTGATGCTCAT